ACAACAATTGGTGGTATAGCCATCGCTATCTTGACCACGAAATCGCAACACATGAGGTACCCCAACCGGGATCTTGGCGACGAAGCCACAAAACGTGATGTCTCCTAGCCGGGATTTTAATCACGAAGGAAGTCAGAAAATTTGAGGCACCCCAATCTTGATCACGAAGTCATAAAAATTGAGGTATCCTAACCGGGATCTTGACTGCGAAGTCACAAGACTTGAAGAATCCCAACCGGTATCTTAAATAGAAAACGCCACACGACTTGTATTATCGCAACCAGGATCTCAACCACGAAGCCACAAAACGCCACAAGACTTGAGGAACCCCAACCGAGTTCTTGAGCACGAAGCCACAAAACTTGAAGTATCCCAACCGGGATCTCGACCACGGAGCCACAAAACTTGTGGTATCTCAACCGGGACCTTGTCCACGAAACCGCAAAACTTGAGAAATCCAAGCCGGCATCTTGACAGCAAAGTCACCAAACTTGAGATTTCGCAACCGGGATCTTGACAACGAAGCCACAAAATTTGAGGTATCTCAACCGAGATCTTGGCCACGAAGCCACAAACTTGAGATATCCCAACCGGGATCTTGACCACGAAGCCACAAAACTTCATATATCCCATCCGGGATTTTGACCACGAAACCACGAAATTTGAGGAATCCCAACCGGGGTCTTGACCGAGATGCCACAGAACTGGAGGTATCTCAATCGGGATCTTAGTTACAAAACGCCATACAATTTGGATGAATCTGAACCGGGATCTTGGCTGCGAGACCACAAAACTAGAGATTTCTCATATGAGATCTTAATCACGAAGCGACAAAACTTGAGATATCCCATACGAGATCTTAATCGCGAAGCCACAAGACTTGAGGTATCCCAACCGGGATCTTGGCTACGAAGCCAAGAAATTTGAAATATCTCATCCGTGATCTTGACTACGGAGCCACAAGACTTGAAGGATCCCAATCGGGATCTTGACCATGGAATCTCAAATTTTGGAGATATCCCAACCGGGATCTTGACCATAAAACCACCAGACTTGAGGTATCCCAGCCGATATCACGTCTACGAAGCCACAAAACTTGAGGTGTCCCGTCCGGGATCTTGGTAACGAAGCCATAAAAATTGAAGCGCCCCATCAGTTGGGATCTTGACCACGAAGCTACATGAGGAACCCCGATAATCGGGATCTTGATCACGAGATCACACAACTTGAGGTACCCCAACCGGCATCTTGACCACAAAACCACAAGTCTTGAGATTTCCCAAACGACGTCTTGTCCATAAAGTCACCAAATATGAGGTATCCCGAACGGGATCTTGATCACGAAGTCACGAAATTTAAGATATCCCAGTCGGGATCTTGTCCACGAAGCCACAAAGCTTGAGGTATGCAAAGCAGGGACTTGACTACGAAGCCACGAAATTCGAGATATCTCAAGCGGGATCTTGACCGAGAGGTCATATAATTAGAAATATCCCAGCTGGTATCTTGACTAGAAAACGCCATAGAATTTGATGTATTTGATCCGGGATCTTGAATACGAAGTCACAAAATTTGAGATATCTAAATCGGTATCTTAACTATGATGCGATAAAATTTGAGGGATCCCGGGATCTTATCTACAAGACCGCAAGCTTGCATATATCCCATCCGGGATCTGGTCCGCGAAACCACAAAAAATAGAGGCATCGCAACAGCCGGGATCTCGCCAAATCTCAATACTTGAGGTTCCAAGATTTGAGATATCGCAATTTAGATCTCAAATACGAAGTCACAAGCCGCCATTATAATTCAAGATCTTATTCACGACGCTGAAATCATAATATATCTTAGCTTAGATTTTAATCATGAAAAAATTAGAAAATTTGATCTGTCCCAATTTTTTTTACGAAATATCTATAAATTGAAATTCCCTAACCTTGATCTAAAATATAAAACACTAGAAAACAAAATTATATGAAATTTCAAATTATAAGAAGAAAAAATTTTTCGTATTTTTTTTGAGTCAATACTTTAATGACAAGCCTAAATATTTCAGATCAAAGATTCTATTTCGTGCTACGAATGCATTCAGAATCCAAATATATATTAAATTTAAATCCGGATATCTATTCAATAATTTGAAGTCCTATTTCAAGCCAAGAATAAATTTGAAGATATATTTAGGATAATAAAATCTTTGAGAATGATTTTGAAATCTTAGTTTTCGGACCCAAGATTTCTCGAGAGCCCAATCTTTTAATTCTAAATTACAGCCCTATTCCTCCCACCCACTAAATCCTCCCTCCTCCCAATTTCTAGCTCCCGATACTACTAGTACTCCATGAACATCGAGATATTATCCTACCAACTCTACCCTACTTAACTCTAAATAAAGCAAGTGAGCTCGGCAGAATAGAGTAAGAAGAGTAAAATGAAACAAGCAGTAAGGGAGGGCAGAGTAGAGTTGGGTGAAAGAAGAGTAACGACTTTTAGGTGCTAAGGTACTAGGCTACTCGGTAGGGTTAGGTCGGGTAAGAGTATAAGGCAGGGTAGGGTAGAGCGGTCGGTCTACTATTATGTACTTTATTTTCAGCTTGTGCCATGAGCTATCTGCCAAGCAGTGCAATGCTCTCAACTGGTAAACGAAAGTTTCCGGAACAGCTTCCAACCAGTAGTTGTTGGTTTCGGTTGTAACTTTGACGAGGTATCTCTCTGGCGTGCCCTCAAGCGGCATGTCGTCCTTGGGTTAGACCCTTAAAGACGGGGGTGGTGAGAGGGGAAGGGGGGGTGTTTTCCTGAGATAGTCAGGACGAGGGGGGGGAAGGGGGGGGGGTTGGCCTGAAACAGCCATGGAACGCGGCCGGAGTTCACTACTATCGTAGTAGAAACGAAAGACAAGCTATGCTAGCTTTCGTGACATGGATAAGAACCTCAGCCTACCCTAACTTCCCAGCTGGAAAGTGCAAAGGTAATGGTAGCTGAGAACCCTAAAGTAGGCAACTCTCGCGGAATGGAGTTCTTATACAGGGATTTCACTCTAGATTCAATTTCTTGGGGACTGTATCACAGCTCCAACCATAATCTGCTCATTGAATGGCGTCTCAACTCTGTTTCAACTTCTTGGGCCTCTATCTCAGCTCTAGCCATGATTCTGAACCGACAAATTTTACAATTTGGTTTTACTTTCGATTGAACTTCATGGGGCCTCTATCTCAGCTCTAGCCCTGTTTTGCGGCTGGCTTCGCGGTGCAGGCATTTGCAGACACGTTGAACTGCTCCTACACCCAATCGCCGCTCACTTCGTCCTTCAAATGGGGCTCTTGGATGAGACGGGTGAATGCAACGGACCGCGTGTAGCTGGCTACTAAGCACTGAGTCTTGAGGAGGAACGAACCGATTCGCAGACTGCGACACTGCCCGGCTTCTTGAAACTTCACTTCTTTCGCCGTGCCTCTGTTGACTCCTCGTCGTCGTCGTTGCTGAGGTTCGCCAAGATGGCGTCAACCTCCGCTTGCGCTCTGCAACGCTCTTGGCGACATGCTCTACCACAGAGCTCCTGGCATCGCCCGACGACAAGCTCTGGCGAGTCCGGCTGAGAGACGTCCCTACGAAAGCACAGGAGATGTCTTGGAATAAAACTTGAGGCAGCGGCTGCAGCTCCACCTGGGCTTTGTTCCAGGGAGCGAAGATCAGGGAGCCTTGGCCAGGCTGGATTTCCTGAACTCCCTCTCCACCGTTGGTTCACATCGATGTAGATACAGATATACAGAATATTCATAGACTGCGGATATGTACACAAACATCTCTTTGCTATGTGCATACTACGGTATGCATACATACATGCATACATACACATACGTGAACATAGCAGAGATAAGCAAGAAGTGCTACGGATTTATGCATGTATGTGCGCATACATGTATGTGTGTATTTCTGTGCATATGTAAATGTAAATACAGACATCAACCGACACACACACACACATATATATGGTCAGGCGTCTGGCGTTCCCAGCCCCCCCCCCCCCCCATGGTATGGTCTGATAGGGGGGGGGGGGGGGGGGGGCTGGCGTGCGCGGAAAGGGGTCGGGGCTGTTGGATGCCGTGGGGTGGTGCTGGCGGCCAGGGCTCATACGCAAGCCCTTCGCAAGCAAGCCGTAAACCCTATAACGCAGCGCGTGCCCCTGTTTTGAGTAACCCTTAACTTGTACTTAAAACCGTACGCCCAACCCTAAACCCCACCTAACTGCAGGCTCTAAGCCTAAAGCAGAACATACACCGCAAATCCTCCCTAAGCCCTTGTCGACTCGAAGCCTTATACCTTGTAACCGTAAACCCAAAACTCAAAAGCTTAAGCTAAACCCTAAACCCCAAAACCCCACAACCACCCCACAGGGGGAAGAGGAACCCCACACCCCACACCACAGGGGAGGGGGGGCCCCACCCTATATCCGGACCATTGACCTTTGGGGGGGGAGGGGGGGGGGCCGCGGAGCGCGTGACCATATATATATATATATATTAATATACATATATATATATATATGTATACATAATTAATGTAGCTGTACGAGAGAGAGAGAGAGAGAGAGAGAGAGAGAGAGAGAGATAGAGAGATAGAGAGAGAGAGAGAGAGAGAGAGAGAGAGAGAGAGAACGGAGAGAATCAAGCGGTGAGGGAGGCATGGAGAGCTTCAGTTTGATACACCTCCAGGTGCATGCTTGGTTCCACACCTGGGTGGGGCAGCGGGCGGCGAAAGCGTTGCAACTGCAGGAGCCGTCTTCGCGGATGCTTCCTGCACTCGGCAACGCAGTCTGCTGGGCACCCTCGGCGCTCTGAAGCGTGCCGGTGCGGTGGCCGCATGCGCACAATTTTTTGAGCCTTTGAGCGATCTCAGGAGCCCTGTCTCATCCCGGAAAGCCGCGGATGTGAAAGCGACGAGAATCAGCTCGTCGCCGCGTCGCCAGCACCCCGGCCCACGAGATCCGAGCTCAGCATCTCTCAGAGCATCGCCACGGAGGCCTTCTCGGCGATCATGACCTTACTCACACTTACACGGCTGAGCCCGAGCCCGTCCCTCAACATCCCCCAAGAGTTGCATCATCTTTTGCCAAGACGCCGTCGGCACCTCAAGGCAGAAGCTCGAGAAGAAAAACACCTCTCCCACGCTCGAAACTCTATTGCGGGCCCCTTGGTCCCCTGCGTGCGTGTTGCCCGAAGTGATCGTGGGCATGATGGAGCAGTCCACTACGCGCAGGCCCTGCAATCCATGCCTGAAGAGCGCGTGGATCAGCTCGTGCTTGCAGAGAGAGGTTTGCAGGCTTTGGCTTCTTTCTTCTGATGGAAGTCATACATAACGGCTGAATGGTCGAACGTGTCTCAACTCCTGCAGTATTCGTGGAGTGCCACGATCAAACCATGACGTTTTGTGATGTCATTGATCGAAAACCTGGTCAAAAGCCCTTTTTCTTCGAAGGTCCAGAATGAAGGCACTTCCGTGAAGTCGGAGCACACGCGCAGCATGGGATCCACCACTGCCATCTCGTCACTGTCGGGTCCCATCTTGCATGTTCCCGCCTCAGATCCACAGCATCCACAAGAAAAACTCACTCCATATGATGTCTGAGATCCCTGACGGGATGGTAGATGGTCTCAGCTATCTCCCGGGCATAGTTCACATCCAAGGACTCCGGAATCTCCACCTTCGAGAGGGATGGAGACTGCGCTCTTCGTGCGCTCGTCTCCTCTCCCTTCCCGGCCTCCTGGGCACCGACTTCACGCAGCAGCGGATGTCGGGAGACCTGCAAAAGGCGGAAGGCGGACGCAGCCCGCAGTCCACCCCTCCTCGCCTCACGGGCGAGCTCCAGGCTCTTCACCGCCAGCGAGGCATCTCCAGGCGTTGACAAGTAGTGGGGCGAGATCCGGAGCCTCAGAGCATCTCAGAGCCCGAAAAGCAGAGATCAGAGCACCCCATTGAAGGGACAAAAGGCGGAGGGCCTTCCGTCCGGGAGAAGCTCAACGCGGCCGCGGCTCTCGGGCCTGGCCACGCCACGGCAAGACGCACTCTTGAAGCGATTTTCATCTCACACTCACACCGTCAGTGGACCGAATTCCCACAGAAAGTCGAATGGTTTTTTTGACGCCTGAGAATGCAGACCGACGCCGTGAAAGCATCGAAGGTGTCCAAGAATACCTTGGCATCAAGTTGGCCTAAACTGCGAAGGTCGCCTCCTACATGCTCCGCTTTGCGGGCAGTGGGCGACGCGGGCGATGGGCGACTGAAACATGACCATTCCAGAGTCGAAATCTCTTCGAATCGCATATGTGAAGCACTGGCGAAGGTAACACAAGTAGATACTGGTGGCAGATGCTATGCCTGCGGCCTGCAGCGGACTGAATGTATCGGTATCCCCCAAGCCGAAAGAAAGCACACTGGGAGCATCAGCTGCATCAGCTTCCGGGAGGACCTGCTTGGGAGTGCAGCCCAAGCCGCAGCCGGCGTACCTGCAGCAGGGGCAGCACTTGGCAAAAAAGAGAAGGCCAAAAAAAGCCCGCCGCCGCCGCCAGGCGCCTGTGGTACTCAGCGGCTGGAAGTGGAACTGCAAGTCCGGTGGACTCGACGCGTTCCTGCAGGGTCTTTACTTCGCATCCGGAACGGGGGTCCCAGGCAGCTCAGCGGCCTGACGGACGGAACGAAGGCGCAGACCTGGGAGGCCGCCATCGACGCGGGCCCCGTGCGGTCTTTCAGGAACTCGAAGGCGTAACGCCAAGCAGCACCGCTCAGGGCCGCCCTTGTCCAACCCAGCAATCCGCCTTCCGACACGAACTTCGCCAAGCGCCCCACCTGCGAGTTCAAAGTGGCAGCCTGGACGCGGAACTTGGGCCTGCCAGGGCTCTGCACACAGTGTCTTTTTGGCGAGTTTCTCATCCTGCCTCAGTTGGAGATGATCTTGGAGGTTCTCGCCGACGCCGGGCAAGGCATGAAGGCAGGTCACGTTGGCCTTTTCCAAGCTGCTCGGTGCTCCGATGCCGCTCTTCAGGAGCAGCTGGGGAGAGCCCAGTGCCCCGGCACAAAGAGCCACTTCCCCGGCACTTATCACGTGCTCCTGGCTTCCACAACTGGCCCGGATCCCCACCACGCGGCAGCCATCCAGAATCAACTTCTCAGCCTGGTGTCACAGCGTTCCGTCTCCCTGCTCTTGCTTTAGACAAGGACTCTAATGATATCGAATCCCAAACATATATTCTCAGACTTTGGCAGCTTTCGCCTGCCGCCTCTTTCGCCTGCTGCTTTCGCCGCCACCGCGTTCGATTGCCGCCATTTTCGCCTCCGCCGCGGCCGCCGCTTTCCCCGCTTTCGCCACCGCCGGTGTTTTCGCTGCCGCCCCGTTCTCTGGCCCCATCACCCATTGTGCTCCCTCTCTGACGTGAAATAGAAATTAACATGTCATGTCTATCTGGCTGTATTGTCCCTTCCCCCTGATATTAAAGGCCCCCCCCCTAATATTAAAACTGGATTTCGGGGGTTTAGTTTTTATCTTGGGGGGGTTTCGGTTCGGTGCATCCACGTATGAGCTCTGGTGTCTTTAGTACTGCTGTAATTAATCTTTGGCTCTACAAAGCCCTGAGGTCATGAGCATGTTTTTTAGCATGAACAGTTTTAAGTAGCAATGTGCCATAGCCCTTTATAGCAGTAACAGTAACACAGACTTCAGGTTGTCGTTTGTCTTGTTTGCCTGCGTGTAAAAATCTCCGCCTTCGTGTGTCCTAGCTTGTTGCCTGCTTGTAAAACTCTCCGCCTTCGAGTGTCCTAGCAATGGCTGATTCAGTGGAGATCTTGTGAATCCACTCTTGTCTTCTATGCCTGCTGGGTCACACCATCACCTACCGTCATGCTTACACACCATTTGTGCAAGTCTTGGTCCGGTTCAAAATTCGGCGGAAACAAGTGCTGCTAGCCAGCCCTGGCGCCCGGCTGCTCGCGCAGGTCACAGCCTCCACGCAGCGCCCTAACTCTATTCGCCAAAGGACCCTCCTCCGCCACGGTCCTCGTCCTCCACCTTCTTGTCATCACCCTGGCAACTCTTGGACCACCAAAAGCTCAAAGGGGCCACTCCGCTACAATCTGACCAAAGTCCTTCAGGATAATGAACCCTAAACTTGCCTAAACCCTAAGCCCTAAACTGTTGACGATTCAGCCAGAAGCAATTTGTTCGAGGATAGGGTGCGGGGGCGTGTGCAGCTTAAACTGGGTCTAGTTAGCAGCTGGAATCGTGGGTTTAGAAAAGAACCACACAACCAGGCGCAAAATAGACCCAGTTCTGGTTTTGCTATGTGTGCACGGCCAGAATTAAACATTTAAGATTTAAATAATGTAAATATTGGGCGGGGTTCCGGATTTAAAGTAGTTAATTCCCAGCCCGAAGCCCTAAACTTTAAGCCCTAAGGCCCCAAGCCCTAAAGCTTTAGCCCTGAGCCCTAAACCCTTAAACCCTAAAGCTCTGCTGTCTTTAGTGCTACTGTAGTCTTCGTTCAATTAAAACACATACAGATCTGCCACCCCCCCTAATGTTGTCCCGTTTAAATTGAATGTGGGGCCCGAAACCGCGAAATTCCGGGGGCCGGGAGTTTTTGTACTAGGGCGGGGGTTAACTGTTAGGGGGAAGCGATTATGATGATATTCATGTACACAGATTGTCACAGATTCCTACGCATGTACGTGGATGCACACAAAATGGAACCCAAATGTATATGCTCAAATCAAATTAAACGCATAATCACGTGAAGGCTAGATGGGCCTTCTGTCCCGCAAGCTAAAAGTCAGGTATTAGACGCACGCCAACAATTCGAAGCTCCAATCTCCCTCAAGCTCCTCAGCATTGCAGAGGATGTGGAGATTGCTTCGCTGGTGCCGAACTTCATGCAAAGGCAGTGCGCTAGAACATCGAAAGCCGCCTGGAGTCCTGATCGCAATGCACAAGGCTGTCGCTTGAAAGCAAATTGTTGCAACATGCAGCAAGAAAAAACATGGCAGGCTAGCAAGATGACGATGATGATGATGATGGAAAGCAGGAAAAGATGATGACGACGATCGTGGCCATGATCATGATGATCATCGCCATCATCATCATCATCACCACCATCGTGCTGATGCTATCTAGTGTATCGGTAATGACGGTAATGCTGATCATAATCTTGAGGGCGGGGCTTGAAGTTGGAGAAGTACGCCACCCCGGCGCCCTGGGACTCGGGGTCCGCTGCCACGAGGCTCATGTCCCGGACGCGGGGGACGCCGCAAACCTCCGCGCAAGCCTCCGACCACCTGTGCTTACCAGCCACAAAAAGAGGGTTTAGGGCAAAAATGTGCCTTTCCCACGGCAAGGTCGCAATGTGGTCACGGTTAAGTTATGGCAAAGCCATCGTATCCTGCAGCTTGGGTACCGTTCTGCAAGATCCGTGCGGTAGCTGCCTTCGCAGACACTCATCGGTCCGCCGGTGCCCCGGTCAGGATGATCGAAAGGGGCATCCTCGCAGCGGCGGAAGTGGGGAAGGAGCTCCTCGTAGCTCCAACCCGGGTTCCCAGCAGCAGCCCAGGCATCGTAGTCGTGCTTCAAGCCCCGGATGTAGAGCAAACCGTTCAGAGCGGAGGAGCCTCCCAAGACCTTCCCGCGGGGCCAGGCCAGGCTTCGGCTGTTCAGCCCTGAAGTCTCTCCATCCGTCCGATACCTGCCAGGTTCAGGGCTTCCGGCCGGGACTCGGATGTTTGGGGAGGGGGGGAGGGTGGGCGGTGATGATAGTTTGCCCCCTTTCGCGTTACGGGCCGGGTCCCGTTTGCCTCCAGTCGAAGGAGCTCCCGATCGCCTTGAAGTAGAAGACCGGCACGTGCAGGAACGGGGAGCTGTCCTTGAGCCGTTCCGTTCTTCCCTACATGGCTACACGCCGCTACAACCCGCTTCCCGCGAGCCCTGAGTCCTCGCCTGGACCCCCAACGTATGTAGAGTATTGTAGAATAGGGTTTATAAGGCTTTACCTACTTTTCGGGGTTTAGGTGCTGTAGTCTCGGTGGGGCCTTAAAGCCGAGTCGCCTGGCGCCCAGCCTCCAGGAGGAGGACCGTTCGCTTCGGGTCCTCGGAGAGGCGATAGGCCAGGTGGGCGCCTGCGCTGCCGCCTCCGACGATGATGACCTGGAAGTGAATGAAAAGTTTACCTTCATGAGGGAAAGAGATGTGCCCTCGCCCTCGCGTTCTTAGTTGGGGAATCGCTCAAACCACTGAAGCCAGGGGCACCCACTACACCACTACACAGTTTAAACATAGGGCTTCGCTTTAAGAGGCTTAGCCGCTTAGCGGCATCGTAGGAAGCGCGGAGCCTGGGCGTCGGGATCGGCAGGAAGGAACGCAGCGTGGCAGAAATGCGGGAGGGCCGCAAGCGCATGGGAGGCGCATGGAGCGCGCTCTCACTCCAAGAAGGCAAACATACACACACACACAGATATATATATATATATATATAAATTTATATATATATATATATATATATAAATATATATATATATATATATATATGGTCCCCCCCCCCCCCCCCCATGATCCACCCCAGCCTTCTCCTCAACTACTCCTGTACTGTCCTCTGGTACAAGATGCGTATTGCTAATGTCAGAATCTATCGGTATTTACGGTGTTTTATGCTGTTCATGTACATGTACAGATGCGGCTTTTCGCTTTTTATATCATATACAAACAAGCCAAAACCGAAACCAGATTCTGGTTCTGGATTCTGGTTCTGCTGCCGCGCTCTTGTCCACTGCTTCGTATCAGCTCTTGCTGTTCAAGTCAAAACTTGGCCTTCCTATTTTGGAGGTTGTCGAACTACTTACGATGTACAGTTTGAACAGACACAGCTGCTCTTCTCCTCATAACATATGCTGTAAGGACAACTCCTTCAATGAAAGCAACCATGCCAGTGGTATGTTTGGCTTACTAGCAACGTTAGCAACGTTGTAACCACACTAAACAGAGGTGTTGCCCATCAGACATGGAAAGGAATCCCCATGTATCTTCATGCTTCAAGGGAACCTCGGACAACATCATATCTTCAAAATTTCAACCGACAAGGGAAGCATGGTTGTTCTTGTTCAGGTGGTGTTATCAATAGAAATCTTGTTTCAGCACAAAAAACACAATAAGCCACCTTAGTCCCTTATCAGTCGCTGGAACTCTGTGGCTGGAACTCAAAGAGCTCTTGCAGTATACCAATACCACAAAATCGGAGTGATTAGGGAAAGACATGGTCTCCCTCCGCCAAACTCCAAATACATTCGGTCACAAGTATAGTATGTCGAGCTTCTTATGCTTTATACTTCGTGGGAATTAAGACAAGCATGTATCTGGAAAGCATTCGTTATTGAACACATTTGTTGTTTTTTCTTTTTAACAGATGCAAGACGATCCTGGCTCAGAACACATAATCGAGCTCCGTTGCACCGCGCTACTCGCAAGAGTTATATAGCTCCTGCCATCTTTGAATACAGCATGAAACAGCTCCAGACCTCTCCTCATAGCCTCCAAGAGATGGTGGAAAAACATCTTTTCTCATTATGCTCTGAGGAAAACAGTCAAACACTCGACTTACTTCTTGAGCAACGTTGACCTTGACTCGGTTATGATTTTGCTCCACGAGAGAAGAATTAGTACCGCCAGTAATCGAAGCAATTGAAAGCTCATTTACCAGGTTCCCCAGTGTCGCCTGAATGGCACCTTATATGTAATGATATGAAATATCGGAGCTTATCAGCTTCTTTAGTTTGTGAGGTAATATGCAATACAAGGAATACTTCTTCTTTGTTCAAGCTACAGGCAAGAGTTTAAGAACTCGACAGCATCTAAACATGATGTGCAGTTCTACGAACATGTGCATTCGCAAAAAAAAAACGTTCTAAAGCATCCACAAACACAAGCAGGTTTCAATATTCTAAAGTACAGCTGTTCTTCTATTTTTTTATTGAGCAAAGGTGATCTTAACAACTTTTATGACTTTGCTCGATGAAAGAAGCAAGAGCACACCTGAGAACGGAAGCAATTGAAGGCTCATGTATGAGCACATGGTACGGCTGTTCTTCTATGACTTTTGCATTTCAGGTTTCAGGAATCTTGGAGATTCGAGCCTGGCAGTGTTTTCGCATCCGAGGTTGCCAAAACACCGCCAGGCACCAATTTCCCCAAACTTTGTGAGGCTGGAAGTGCCAAAACCTCGCCAGGCACCAATTTCCCTAAAATCCCCAAAATCCTGGCATCTATGGAGGCCGTCAGAGTTCAGCTGTATGAATTTTGGGGAAATTGGTGCCTGGCGGTGTTTTCGCATCCGAGGTTGCCAAAACACCGCCAGGCACCAATTTCCCCAAAGTTTGTGGCTGGAAGTGCCAAAACCTCGCTATGCTCCAATTTCCCCAAAATCCCGGCATCTATGAGGCGTGCCGGGCCATAGTTGCCCAGAGTTTGGGGATTTTGGGGAAATTGGTGCCTGGCAGTGTTTTCGCATCCGAGGTTGCCAAAACACCGCCAGGCACCAATTTCCCCAAAGTTTGTGACGCTGGAAGTGCCAAAACCTCGCTATGCTCCAATTTCCCCAAAATCCACAAAATCCCGGCATCTATGAGGCGTGCCGGGCCATAGTTGCCCAGAGTTTGGGGATTTTGGGGAAATTGGTGCCTGTCGATGTTTTCGCACTTCCAGCTTTGCAAACTTTGGGGAAATTGGTGCCTGGCAGTGTTTTCGCATCCGAGGCTGCCCACCTCCCATGATCCACTGTTTGCAGGAAGCAGGTTCGGGTGATATGTATATATATATATATATATATATAAATATACATATTTTATATATGTATGTAAATATTGTATGTATGTATTTATATATTGCGTTTGACATTATAATATATATATATATATATATTATATCTAAGGTACGAAGGGACGCTCGCGTGCTCGGATGCTGCCTATCGAGCCCGACGGGAACGACTGCTACAAGTAGCTATGCAATTGTAACCATGGGGAATGCAATTACATGTCTATACACTTACAAGCACAAGCATGCAAGACTCGCACAATGCATGTCTGATCAGCCTGAGTCCTTCGATTGGAACATGCACAGCGTTTACAAGCAGAAACAACTTCGGATCAAATTCCGCTCATCTCTCAGACCGTCACGAACAAGCATGCCCGTGACCTGACCTCAACCCAAATCTTGATAACAAATGCAGAAAGCCTGTTCGGCATCTCGGCGTCGAAAAGCATTGCCCCGATCCCGATTCGCTCCGTCCCCCAGAAATCGTGCAACGAACGAACCCTAAGTAAACACGAACGCAATAGCTTCTCCATTCAAAACTGAGCCTCCCCAAAGCCACACCTCTTAAAGGAAAGAAGCTGCAAAGCAGCGCTTGCCCACAAAAGCTTCCCCCTGCGAGTTGCGGGTGAATTCCCCCCCTCGGCTCGGCTCGGAGGTCCTGGGCCTGCTGGGCCGACGGAGCCGGCGGAGCCGGACTCTGGGAAGCAGAGGCCTCCTGGGCCTCGGCCTCCTGGGAACTCGGGCTCTTCAGCCTCGCCAGGGTGCTCTCCCTTAGAGTCCGCGTCCTGCGCCAGGAAGGGAGGGGCATGAAGATATTTCTAGAAGCTAGAGCTAAAGAACCTGACAGTAGACTCAATTCCAATTCCTGGCCTCTCGTCAGACTCGCGCTGCTGTGCCAGTAACTGTTGGTGCCACCATTCTTCCTTCGCGTTCGTCGGACTGGAGCTTCCCTGCCGGAGGCAAAAGCGAGCTATAGACAACCGCGGCACTGCGCACTTTGCTTTGCTGGCGGCCTGGTCCTCCGCTTTGCCGATGTCCTGAACAGACACTTCGACGAATGGTGCCGGAGGCCGTGGAGGCCGTGGAGGCCGTGGAGGCCGGAGGATGCGAGGCAGAATGGAGAAAGACTTCGGGAGCCCCGGGATTCCCAAGTCTCCAACTGCTGCCAGGCTCTTCTGAATTCGAATTCGGTGGACTCGCATTCTTGTGCGCATCCAAAAGTGCAGCATCGGTTTTGGATCTGGAGCTCACGGAACGGAAGAGAAAGCGCAGCAAGCATCAGCAAGCCCCATCTGCGCGCGCCTGCCGATCTTGGACTTCATCTGAGAGTAACCAAGGCTGGCTTTGGTCCTTTGGAAAGAGAAGAAAATACCCCACATGAGCCCCCCTTTTTTTGTGTTCTGGCTTTTTAAAAACGGACTCCAGGAAGGGGAAGCCCCGGTTTCGGCCTCGGTGTCCTCGGACTGCGGGGAGAAGTTCAGCTGCGCGTCGCTCTGCGCAGGGGAGCAGGCAATGACTGCTCATGTGCCATGTTCCAACGCACGCCCACCAGCAGGCTTTGCTTGCTGTTTGTGCAAAAAGACCGCGTCAAACCCACGCAAAACCCACCGAAACCCTCCCAAACCCACCCAAAACCCACTCGAAACCCTGGCAGGCGTGGCAAACCCACTTCACCCCCGCATTGGGATTTACAATAGTAAAACCCTGAGGTGGGAGTGCAAAAGCACCTTTTGCCGAGCCAAAGCGCATCAACGAAGGTCCTCAGAAACTCGATCTGAGGTTCTCGAGAGCAACACGGCAGGAAATAGCAGTTAGGAAAGGACCAGTTGACATCAGTGTGCTAACTATACGAAACAGCATCGGGCAACGCACATGACTAACTAGATGGTCTTATGGTGCGTCCTACATTGCTTGTGGTTGAGTTGACTGCTTGACTGCTCCTTTCCTTTAGAAAGCCTATGGTGGACAGCTACGCAGCTCCAGTCTACCCGCCACTTCTTGCGAAGGGCGACCCATGTTGGTGACTGCCTGCGTGCCTCCTGTAACTCAGGCCTCAGCAGCATAGGATCGAGAATTGGGGATCGACGACATGTTCCGAGATTTCACAAGCTGCTGTGGCCCCTGAAGTTATGTCATCAACCCCTGCACAAGGACTCCGGGAAGACACGAATCAAGTGTGATACTTTTACGGGTTTCAACATCTAGGTGCACTGGTTACTACTACTACTACTACTACTACTACTACTACTACTACTACTACTACTACTACTACTACTACTACTACGACTACGACTACTACTACGACTACGACTACGACTACCACTACCACTACGACTACTACTACTACTACTACTACTACTACTACTACTACTACTATTACTACTACTACTACTACTACTACTACTGCTACTACTGCTACGACTGCGACTACTGCCACTGCCACTACCACTACGACGCCCACTATTACGACCACTACAACTACGGCGGCTGCTACGACTACCACGACTACCACCACTACCACAAGCACTACCACTACCACTACCACTACCACTGCTACTGCTACTACTACTACTTCTGCTACTACTACTACTACTACTACGACTACTACTACTACTACTGCTACTAGTACTACTACTACAATTACTACAAGCCATCTCCCCCCTACCAACCACCGGGCCATCATCATAGTTGTTGGTAATTATTGGGCTACAACATCAGGAAAGTAATGCAAATACCGAATAACATGGATGTGCTTTTCAAGAGTACATCATCGTGCCCCCCACCCCACCCCACCCCACCCCCGCGTCCCCTCAACAGCGGTGGTCAGCATTGGACTGCGACATCAAGAAAGTACTGTAAACACCGAGCAAAATGGATGTGCTCTTAAACCGTGGTTAGGACCTGGTTAGGAGAGGTGGTTGGTAGGGGGGGGCGCCTACAACTACCACTTCCACTGCTGCTGCTACGACGACGACTACTAGTACTACTACTCCTGCTCTACTGCTACTGCTGCTGCTGCTACTGCTGCTGCTACTGCTAATTACTATATTACTATAGTAGCAATAGTAGCAGTATAGTGCTACTATTGCCACCAAACTGCTGCTACTGCTGCGAATACTTCTGCGACTACGTCTGCAACTGCTACTACCACCACCCACCACCACTACCCTTCCCCCCGCTCCCTGTGTGACGGACGTGGCAGGCCTGGCATTTCCAACATGTAAGATGCATGGCAGGCGTGGTATTTCACGCACACAAGACAAGTATAAAGTGATGATGCTTCTCGGTGTTTGGTTTTGGTTGGGCCTGGCGCTGTGTCGGGCTTTTTGGCTGTCAGGTTGAAAGTTGGGAGTTTGCAAAGGCTTTGGTGACATGAACGTTATCATCGCGCGGACATGGATGTTCTAAGCGGTCGCATGTACTGGCAAGGTCATCATGCGGACAAGGCTTCAAGGATCCTCTGGCCAGTCGCACGCTCTTGTAGCATGGACGTAATCATCTTGCGGGCATGGACGTTCCGGCCAGTCGCACGCACTGGTAGCATGGGCGTAACCCTCGTGTGGGCATGGATGCTCCGGCCATGCGCGCACGGGTCGCATAGACGTATTGATGGTAGTTGGTGGGGCGAGGGTGTAGGGTGGAGTTTTGGTTCGACAACCACAACAACCACCAACCAGAACAACAACAAGCAACAACAACAACAACAACAGCAACAACTGCAAATAACAGACGTCAACGAATAGCGGGCACCGCGCCACAGCAGGAGACAGACGCAACCACAATCTTCTGTGGAAACTGGGAAGCGGGGCCAGAAACCAAATCAGCGAAAAGTGTGCACGGCACCACAGTGGGGAGACACAGGCAGCCAGCATCCTGTGTAAATGGCAGGACGTGGGGGCCAACTATTAATATTATGATAATACTTATTATTAGTTTTCTCATTATTTCTATTCTATTGTTATTGCTAATATTATTCTGATTGTAATCGCAATTTTTAACATTCGTATTGTTATTAGAAGTAATGTTATTAGTACATTATTTGTAATGCTATTATCAATATTATGATTCTTATTGTTATTACGGTCATCACTATTATTGTTATTACTAATTGTAGTATTAATACTACTAATACCAATAATAATCATCATACTAATGATAAGAACAACTATGGTTAGAAGTAGTATTACTATTCTCATTTTTCTATAACAATATCATCACCAATAATATTATGAGTATAATTCTAATCGTAAATATGTTTATTACTTATATATATATATATGAGAGAGAGAGAGAGAGAGAGAGAGAGAGAGAGAGAGAGAGAGAGAGAGATACCTCTAGTGTCTATTTGACGCTCTATTTCTTTCCTATGAGTAGATATAATATACAGACATAATTGAAATAACTTAAATCAGCAAGGCCGATTTCAATTAATTCAATTGTCGGGGTATCCCAAATAATTGAAATAATTGAAATCGGTGGGGTTTCTAGCCCAGCCCCAGAACCACACGATTTCAATTAATTGAAATAATTGAAATAATGAAAATAATTGAAATCGGCCCCCTTTCAATTATTTCAATTATTTGGGTGACCCCAACAATTGAAGTAATTGAAATCGGCCCCATTTCAATTATTTCAATTACTTGATATCCTGGGGTTCCTTGGCTTGAGCCCACGGACCATCAGGATTTCAATTCTTGCAATTGTCAGGGTATTCCAAATAATTGAAATAATTGAAATGGGTGGGGTCTCTGTCCCAGCCCCAGAACCCCACGATTTCAATTAATTGAAATAATTGAAATCACCTCGATTTCAGTTATTTCAATTATTTGGGTGACCCCAACAATTGAAATAATTGAAATCGGCCCCATTTCATTATTTCAATTAATTGATATCCTGGGGTTCCTTGGCTTGAGCCCACGGACCATCAGGATTTCAATTATTTCAATCGTCAGGGTATCCCGAATAATTGAAATCGGTGGGGTCTCTGTCCCGGCCCCAGAACCCTACGGTTTGAAATAATTGAAATAATAACAATTACCTCGATTTCAGTTATTTCAATTATTTGAATTATTTGGGTGACCCCAACAATGGAAATAATTGAAATCGGCCCCATTTCAATTATTTCAATTAATTGAAATCTTGGGGTTCCTCGGCTTGCCCCCGCGCCCCACCCGGCTCCACCCAGCCTTAGACCCACCGCCATTCCCGCCCACCCCCGGCCCCCCCCCCATCCCCCCCCCCACCGAAATATATTCTACAAGAAATACAGGAGCCAGTAATAAAATAAAGTAAACACCACAGCTGTGCTAACACCAAAAACATGACACATTTTCCGCGGAATATGTGTCACGATATCTGTGCTAACACAAAAAATATGACACATTTTCCGCGGAATATGTGTCACTATAGCTTTGCTAACACCAAAAACATGACGCATTTTCCGCGGAATATGTGTCACTATAGCTTTGCTAACACCAAAAACATGACACATTTTCAGCGGAATATGTGTCACTATAGCGGTGCTGACACCAAAAACATGACACATTTTCCGCGGAATATGTGTCACTACAGCGGTGCTAAAACCAAAAACATGACACATTTTCTGCGGAATATGTGTCACTAGATCGGTGCTAACACCAAAAAAACATGACACATTTTCCGCGGAATATGTGTCCCGATATCTGTGCTAACACCAAAAACATGACACATTTTCCGCGGAATATGTGTCACGATATCTGTGCTAACACTAAAAACATGACACATTTTCCGCGGAATATGTGTCACTATAGCGGTGCTAACGCGAAAAACATGACACATTTTCCGCGGAATATGTGTCACTATAGCTTTGCTAACACCAAAAACATGACACATTTTCCGCGGAAATGTGTCACTAGATCGGTGCTAACACCAACAACATGACACATTTTCCGCGGAATATGTGTCACTATAGCGGTGCTAACACCGTTTTCCGCGGAACTCCTATTAGTTCCTTCTCTCTCTGATTCTATTCCAACCTTGAGGGACAAAACAAAGACTAGAGAAAATGGCCTCATCCAAACCCCCATGCAAGGTTTGCAGAAGGGTTATATAGCAATAGGGCATACTTAAGGCTAATGTAAAGCTTCTGTAATGATTATATAAACCTCTTAACTGCATGGATCATACAAAGTTTCATTTCTTGCTTCCACTCTCTCCATCCACT